TTATTATTATTATTATTATTATTATTATTATTATTATTATTATTATTTAGGGACCCGACTCAACCCTGGTGCCCCACCAGCCCCACACTTGGACGTCCCAAATTGCCAAACCTTCCCCAAAAAAATTCCCTCAGAGCTCCCAGTCTGGATTTCTCCACCTTTATTCGTGCCAGGAATGCCAAGGATCGGGGGGCACTCGAAGCCACCACCTCGATTCCAGCGGGTTTTCCAACCTCGAGCTGCCCCGTAGCACCAGTAAAAACCCCAGTTCCAAAAACAGCCATATAAAAATCCCACTATTTGCTAAAAAAAGCCTTCAAAAGCACCAATCCAGGGAGTTTTGTGTTAGAAAAAGGGGGAAAAGTAGGATGTGGTGAGTGGGAATAAACCAGTTCGTTCTTCTGGCACTAAAAACAGGGAATATTTCCCTCTTTTTTTTGTTAAAAAAAAGCAATAGGAAAATGGGAAAACCATCCAACAGGCCCCAAATTGTATCAAAAATAGACAAGTTTGGTCGTGTCATTGGAAAAGTGCAGCTTTTGGAGGCAAAAATCGCTGTGGGTTCGGAGCAGGGATGGGGATGGATCCCCCTCATCCATGGGATGTGCCAGTGTCTGCTGTGGATTTGGGATGGGGATGGATCCTCCTCATCCGTGGAATGAGCTGTGCTGGTCTCTGCCATGGTTTTTTGGGATGGGGATGGATCCCCCTCATCCACGGAATGAGCTGTGCCAGTGTCTGCTGTGGATTTTGGGAGCAGGGATGGGGATGGATCCCCCTCCTCCATGGACTGTGCTGGTCCCTGCTGTGGATTTGGGATGGGGTGGATCCCCCTCCTCCATGGGCTGTGCCGGTCCCTGCGGGTGTCCCGGGATGTCCCTAAATCCCGGGGGGGTGACGCTGGAGCTCCTGCTCCTTCAGCAGCGTGATCTGCCAGGAATGGGGGAGGTTGGAGGGTGGCAGGAGGGGACAGTGTCCCCCCTGGGTGTCCCCTCACCTGCTCCTCCAGGCTGGGCCCGATCCGCAGCCGCTCCAGCTCCCGCTGCAGCTCCGGGGACGATCCCAGACCGGGAGCAGAGCGGAGCTCCAGCGCCGACACCTGCGCCTGGACAACACCCCAAAACTGGGCACTCCGGGGAGGGCACCCCAGAAACAGCCCAGCACCCCCCAGGGCAAGCACAGCACCTTCCCAAAAGGGGATGAGCCCAGGGAAGAGCCCAGCACCACCCCAATACCAGCACCAGTGTCTCCCTGAGCTGGGAAGTGCTCCCGAAAAGCAAACCCAGCACCATCCCAGGACCAGCTCCAGCATCTCCCTTCCAGCTGGGATGAGCCCCAGGAGAGCCCAGGGCCATCCCAGTACCAGCATGTCCCTTCAATGTGGGATGAACCCAGTGCCATCCCAGTGCCATCCCAGCACCTCCCATAGACGGGATGAGCCCAGGGAAGAGCCCAGCACCATCCCAGTGCAAGCACCACTCTCTCCTGGAGCTGGGAAGTGCCCCGTGAACAATCCCAGTGCCACCCAGTACCAGCAGCAGCACCACCCTTCCAGCTGGGATGAACCCAGCATCATCCCAGGACCAGCACCAGCATTCCTTGGAGCTGGGAAGCACCCCAAAAATGAGTCCAGTGCCATCCCCGTGCAAGTTGGGAAGGGCCCCAAAAATAGCATCAGCCCCTTCCCAGTACAAGAACCAGCACCCTCCCAAAATGGGATAAGCCCAAGGAAGAGCCAAGCACCATCCCAGTACCAGCACCAGTGTCTCCCAGAGCTGGGAAGGGCCCCATAAACACCCCCATCCCAGTACCAGCCCCAGCATCCCGCCAGGAGGGGAGGAGCCCCAAAAGCTGCTCAGCAAACTCCCAGTGCCAACCAGCATCTCCCTTCAATCTGGGATGAGCCCAGTGCCATCCCAGTGCCCACCAGCATCTCCTTCCAGCTGGGATGAGCCCAGTGCCATCCCAGTGCCAGCCCCAGAACCATGTGAGCTGGGAAGCACCCCAAAAAAAAGACCAGTGCCATTCCAGTGCCATCACCAGCATCCTCCCCAAAATAGGATGAGCCCAGTGCCCTCCCAGTGCCAACCAGCATCTCCATTCCAGCTAGGATGAGCCCAGTGCCACCCCAGTGTCATCCCCAGCATCCTCCCCAGACTGGGATGAGCCCAGTGCCATTCCAGTGCCATCCCAGGACTATCCCCAGCATCCTCCCCAGACTGGGATGAGCCCAGTGCCACCCCAGTGCCATCCCAGTGCCACCCCAGTGCCATCCCCAGCATCCTTCCAGGTGGGATGAGCTCCCTGAGGAGCCCCCCATCCCATCCCGTCCCGCTCCAGGCCTGGGCTGGGGGCAGCCCCCCGAGGTGCCCCTTGCCCAGGGCAGGGTGACCCACCCGCAGCTCCCGGAGCCGTGTCCGAGCCTGGCCCAGCTCCCGCTCGGCTCTGCCCAGGGACCGATCCAGCCCCACTGAGAGCCCCAGGGGCTCATCCCGGGAATCCGGCTGCTCCCGCTCCACCTGCGGACACAACGGAGACAGTGGGGGAAAAAACAGGGGTTGGAATATGGACAGAGTATGTCAAACCATCTGTAAAACCAGAAAAATACATTATTATATATATATATAAAAATATATATAATTATATATAATATTATATATAATTATATATATTATATACAAGATATTATATTACATATAATTTTTATATATTATGTTATATATATTTTTATATATATAATATATATTGTATATTATGTATAATACATAAAAACTATATAACCCCCATAATATATTATATAGCATATAGTATATATGCTATATAGTACTATAATATATAATAATATATAATATTATATAATATATCTATATATTATATTATAGATTATATGTTATGTATATTAATATATAATAATATATAATATTATATTATATTATATGTCTATATATTATATTATAGATTATATATTATGTATATTAATATATAATATATCATGATAATAATGTATATTATTAGTATATATAATAATATATAGCATATAATATATATAATATGTATTATACAGTGTATATATATGTACTATATATATACACACATATGTAGTATATACATATTACATATATTATCTAGTAGAATATATATAATATATACTATGTATAATATATTAAAATGCATATAAACCCAGAAAATATATATGTACATAGATATTACATAGTACATAGCATATACTGAATATAATATGTATTATATATTACATAGTTAATAATAATTATACATACTAATATAGTATATGTTATGTATGATACACAAGTGTATATAAACCCAAAATATATATATATACATAGATATTAATATAGAATATTAATATATTATACTAATTATATTATTATTATTATATTAGAATATAGATATTAAAGTCTGGATAATGTATATTAAAACATATAAGCCAGAAAAACATAGATAGGAATAAATATAAAAGTATGTATAAGATATGTAAACATCATAAATATGGGTATTAATATATGTATAATATATAAAACATATAAAATGGAATATATCGATGTAAATAGCAATAAATACATAATATATAAAAGTATAATATCTATAGATATTAAAATATAATGTATATAAAAATTTATATAAAAGCAGAAGATATATATGAAAATACATAATATAAACAAACAAAAATAATATACATACTACCAAACATAGTATTTATATAGTGTATGTATTTCTATAAAATACATCTTTTAAATATGTTATATAACTATAGAAAATATAATATTTATTACAAAGAATATAACTCTAAAGATAAAATGTAATTACATAATATATATTATATATGGTATATTTTTATTATTATTGTTATATTATACATATTTTATCATATATAATAATATATACTAAATTATATATATTTATATATCATATATTATATGATATATATTATATTATATATATTATAACACGTTATATTATATATATTTATATATCATATATTATATGAGATATATTATATGATATATATAACACGTTATATTATATTACATTATATTATGCTATGCTATATTATATATTGTATATTATATATTATATATTGTATATTATATATTATATATTATATATTATATATTATATATTATATATTTTATGGGGTGCATGGGGCAAGAGGAGGTCGGGAGTTGATGCGAGGGGGGTGCAGAGGGTCCTGGGGGGGGGTCCTGCCCGGGGTCAAAGGTCAGGGAATTTGGGGTCCCCCCTCACCCGCAGCCGGAGCTGTTCCTCCAGCCGGTCCCTGGAGCGCTGCAGCTCCTCCCGCTGCTCCCGCATTCCCTGCAGCTGCTCCCGCAGCATTCCCTTCTCCTGCCGCGCCTCCGCCAGCGCCCGCCGCGCCACCTCCAGCCCCTCCTGCGGGACACCGGGATGTGCATCCCACCGG